GGACCTCTCTGGGGAGCACATTCCATAGATTGGGCGCCACCGCAGAGAAAGCCCTCCTCCGAGTACCTACCCTCCTAATTTCTTTCATGGAGGGTTCCCGGAGAAGGGCCTCTCCCGCAGATCTCAAGGGATGGTCGGGCATATATGGATGTAAGCGCTCCTTCAGGTCATGAATTCTACAGGCGAGGTCACACAACACGACTACCCACCCTGGCAATCAGTCCCGGGGGCTTGGTTGTGGTGCATCCAATGGACATGTGAGGGTCTGATTGGTTGCTCACTCTCCTCCTTCCCCTCCGTCCTGCAGGTGACACCATGACAGACCCAACTTGTCTCTCTCTGCCTGCTGCATTTGGCTACCAGCAGATCTCCAAACTGGCTTTTGAGACCCCTGCTTTGACAGCCATTGAAAGCCTCCTCAAACTGCCCAATGGGTACTTTGGACCGTCCATGGTTGGAAACTATTTTAATTGTTTTTGGGACCCTCTCATGTGCACCGAAGTATTGGGTACTTTGAAGGGGCTGCCAAAGTGGGATTGTGAAAGCTGTTACACTGTTAAGCTGGGAATTGCGGTCTCTAGGAGACGAAGGGTGCGGGGGCAAAACAACAACAACCCTGTGATGAGCTAAACGGGCTTTTAGTCGCAGTAAGGGATGCCCAGCCAGTGCCAGTCACTCCAAAGTGCTGCTCGGGTGTTGGGGAGGCGGGGGGCGGGGGCTAGCACTGGTGGCAGCCCAGGTGAGCTTGGCAAGAGCAGCAAGGGGGCTTTGCCACTCCTGCCATGTGGCACAATAGACACTCCCTACTGGCCACAATGGGTTTAGTTGCCTGGTTTAGATGATGCAGCAACCCTACAACAACCCGTCAGTTATCAGGGTTGCCTGTTGCTGGCAATCAACCCATGTTTGCATGATATGACAACACACCGTGGCTTGTCGCCCCTGATGGGTTGTCATTAGGGACGTGTGAGGAATCTGACAGAGGTGAGAAAATCCAATAGCTCTTCTTGACCTGGCTTTGCAGACTTTGTTTTATAAATCCTGTGCAGGCACTACCTTAATCTGAGGCAAGGTGAGCCCACACAGTGACTTCTGTTCTTAAAATGGCCCACAAGCTGAATATTTTTTCAGAAGCCCAGGCAGTTTTGGCCTGCATTCAGCAGTTTGCTTAATTTGTGCGATTTGGAGGCCCAGATTTTGCACAAATCTGACAGAAAATCCAAGATGACCAAGGTGGAGTGTGTGCCTGAACTGAGAGAAGGATGTTTTCAAACTTTTCATGTTTAAATGCCACAGCGCGAACAAGAAACAATTGAATCCAACTATAGCCAATGGTGTGTGGTGGTTAGAGGTCTGGACTGGGTTCTTGGGAGATCTGGGTTCTAGTCCCCACTTGGCCATGAAGCTCAAAAGGTGACTCTCAGCCCAATCTACTTTACATGGTTGTTGTTGTGAGAATAAAATGGAATGATGTAAGTTCCTTTTTTCCAACAGGAAGAAAGGCAGGATAGAATGCAATGTAGTAACAACAACAACAACAACAACAACACAAAGTGTTGTGCAACACAAATTGCACTACAGATATGCAATTCTTCTCTCCAGATTTGTGCAAATGCTTTGAACAATTTGGCAAAAGCTGAAAACAAAAACCTGACTTTGCATGCTTTGGGCCATTGGGTCAGAAATGTGTCAGGTCTGTAGAGATCAAATTGAACATGTTCTCCAGCTTTGCACATTGCTAGTTTTTGTGTCATTCATACCTGCCATATGTCTGCATCAAGCACACCTGGCATTTTAGACTGAGAAATTTAAATACCTTTATACTAGTGTTATTGTTTGCATCTATGTAAAACCTATAATTGAAACCAAAAGCCACAAGGAACATAGGATCTTTGAAAAGAAAGACTGTGGGCTGTAAAATGGCTTTGCTCATATGATCATTGCCCTTATGCAGAACTGTGTGCTCTGCTGATAGATCAGTGCTTCGGAGTGGTAACTGAGGATGAGAGAGAGGCACTTCTCAGCTGGCAGCAGGAAAAGCGGAAGCCAGCTCATGTGCTCCAGGTACAACCAGGCTGACCTGAGCAGAAGCTTCCGGTGGTTTCTGCTAGCAAAGGCTGCAACAGGTTGGCTAGCACTGGAGGAACTGCCTTTGGATCTCATCCAGACTCCAACATAATAGCAGAAGCAGGGAGCAGATGTCCTCTGTGGTCACTAGTCCCATGTTGTCCCGGAAGGTCCCACAGATCTCCAGGACAGATTCTCAGAGGCCATGAGGGGCTAGGGTGGGAAGAAGGCGCTGCAAATTGCCTTCTCCCCTCCTCTGCTAGTGGGAGTACTTTTATTAGGCGAGAGGGATCACGAGAAGAAGCCAGTGAGTTCACACCTCTGTCTCTTCAAAGGCATTACAGAGCAAACATGCTGAAGTGATACAGCTTTGGGAGACTGTAGAAGCTTTACTTATTCCCCAGGGATTTTAGAAGAGAGAGAGAGAGGAAGTTAGAGTTAATCACATCATAATATTGAGACATTTGCTTAGGATTTGGGGAAGAACTGAAACTGGTTATATTAGATAATGGAAGGAACCAAGGTTAGGGGAGCAGAAAAACTTAGTAATTATGTGCGTGCTTTCCTTCCTTCCTTCTTTTGTTTAAAAATGTAGGGAGAAATAGATTCTCGTATCTGGTACCACTTACTATGAAACAACACGCATAACAAACACACAAGAGTTCACCATTAATATTGAATATATAATCAGACAGAAAAGTGTAATATGGAACATAAACATTGAATAAAAGCTGAGATCAAGCTACCAAGATTACTTATTTTTATTATTTGTTTTATGAATTCAACTGATCTACATTAAACATGTTATCATTCAGAAAAAGATGTATATATAATCAATATGGACACCCCTGAGGTTTGTATAAATGATACAAGTTATGATGTATAGAAAATAAATGGCCAACTTAAACTTTAAAAGCATCAGCACTTACATATATCTTTTGGAGATGTCCATTCAATAGGAGAGCAAATTGATAAAAGATAGAAGAAGTGCTAAATATGCATCATGACAAACAGTGAAAAATTAACAAATGTAACTTACATTAATTACATTCTAGTAAGATGAATAGGCTGCTCATCATTAATGAGAACATACACCTTTGTCTAAGTTTCACATCTACTTGTGATAAATGTGCTAATAGTGATAAAATATATCATAGCAGCATTTGAATTAGCAGCTCACTAATAGATTGACATATGATATGAAGGAAGTGTTTAATCTTAAACATGGCACCGCACACAACAGCAAATCCTCCTTCATGCATATACCAAAAAACCTGAACCTGATATAAACATCACAACCTTTTCTAGTTAATCTATACCAAAATAACTTTGTTATTGTTGGTATCTATGTTATATTTCAAATTATACTTAGACTCATTTCAAAATATTGTGGGTTATGGATCTTTCAATCAAATGGCAAAGCTTAATTTTTAATAGAAAGGGTGTTTGTTTGTTTCCGTGAATAATATACATTGACACATCAAGTGACAGCTGTGAGGTAATCAAATTCCTTATCTGTGATTTGATGCCAGTCCCATGGAAGTGAAAATATCTTTAGGACACAATCCGATGCATGTTGAGACAGGAAAAATGTTCTGCAGCTGCCAGCAACCATGACCACCTGGGGAAGTTGTAGGACTTCCTTTGGTCTAAACATGCATCCTCAACCACTTTAAGGGGAGCACAGTGGGCCTCTGTGAGGAGAAGAGCACTTTTTGCATGTATCAGGTCAAATTTGAGTTTATAAGACATGATAGGAGGTAAGAACCCCGCAATACACTATAAAAATCGAGCTTCAGGTAAAACAGATAAAAATACAAATCCAATGGAGCAGTATGCATGGTTGTACTAACATTATTTCAGTGTAGTATGTATTTGCTGT